GAAAAATATTTTTCTATATCTATTACTTTTAGATAACGGGCTTGTCGAATTTCGCCTTCGATCTCTATAGTGACTTGGAGATTCTGGAGTTGTGCTTCGTTTCTTTTCTCTTCGCCGTTCGTCATCACGTTCCTCACTTTTTGCATCTTTCATCTCTCTTTCACTCTACAATAAAAGCTTATTTTGCAGCACTATTTTATTAAATTTAAAAATGTTGCTACAAAATATCAACTGTACCTTTCTTATTAGTTTTTTTCTGTAATGTTCTACCTGTCCTTGGATCGTCATACCGGATTTTAGTGTCCTTCTACCACTTTCTAGTTCATCTTGATATTGCATTATTTTAACTTCAATTTCACGCAATCTACTTCTTCTTTCTTCATTGTAATCTCTACCACTATTACATCGAATAATATCGCAATTAGTAGATTTTTATTTATTATAATAATGTGAAACATACAAAAGTACCTTTTTTATCTGGTTATTACATATATAACACTTATAATTACTTAAAGACAAAAACTATATACCTAGAATCCATACTAGTATCCTGGGAATTTGAATCATCATTTTGGCCTAATTCTTCCCATTTACTAGTCGTCATAGCTTGTGCTTCAACCTAATATAACAATAACTTATTTTATAAAGTAGAAAATAACGCGTAACAGTCTTGCCAAGAAAAAGGTGTAAAAAATGACTAAATATAAAGTCTCAATAATTTATAACTTGTTTATACTGATAGGTCACTACAATTTAAACCTAATCCCTTTTTAAAAGTAGTTGTTCCGATCGCGATTTTCCCTTGTAAGATAATTATTTCAACCTGATCAGGATCAACAGTTTCCCAACGAGATGGTACAAAACCCGCTGGAATTGATGGTTTCCTTTCATCTTCTTTACTCTGTATATTTGAAGAATCATCTTCATCCATTGGTACACCATCTATATCCTCGTCCACTGAAAACAAACAGTAGGACATATATATTACCAGAATATAGCTGTAAATACATAAAGTGTATGTAAAAACAGATATTAAACAATTGTTGTAAAATAATTAGAATGATAAATATGTAATTTAAATATTCTTACTAGGTACACCATCAATATCATCATAGTTAGAAGTTGTTTGTGGAGTTAAACCATGTTTCATAGCACCTTTAAGAAGAGCAGCACCGTCTAATGGTACTCCATCCAAGTCTTCTGCACCATCTCCGTCGACATCTGATAAAGGTGCCCCATCAATATCTTCATCATTTTCTGGTTCAGGTTCATCTACCTATAAAAATAAAATTATTTTTGTTCACTTTTCTTATAAGTTTAGCAAGAAATAGTTATAGTACAAAAGATTAAATTTACCAAAATAAGACCAAGGAAAGTATTTTGTAATTTAACAAGAAAATCTCGTGGATAAACTGCCCAATCTTCCCATGCTCTAAACATTCTCATTACACGTACTTTAAATCCTTCTGCCTTTAGTCTACTATCAAACTGTTTATAAGCTTGATGAACTTCATTAAATATATCTAAAAGTCGAGTTTCAAACCTGTGTTATAAATATACTTATATTAACATTAATTACATGTACAATATTTATATTTTGATTACAATTTAACACATGTATATTCATACATTTATTGACATTGTATTATTTAAATTTTTTATCTTTTAAAATAAAATAACTTACGCCTTACGGTAAATAGTAGCATTATTTACTTTCACACCACAATTATGTAAAATATCAGATATGAGATATAGTCTTGCAATTTTTTTATTGACAGGAGTTTGCAGTATAGATAGTGATTCTGAAATACAATCGCAAATTTCTTCCGCTGCTTCAGCATGTTCTATACAAAATACCATTGCTTCTGCAACTTTTATCCTTTCCGGTGATATGTTTCGTAATAAATCTTCCAATCGATCTCGTTGACTATAAACGTTTTTGAAACAAATTTTAGTAACAGTGAATAAAATGTATAAAAATATGCAATATTCGTTTGAAATACCTGTTTGACAGACTACCCCTTCTAGGTTCTTGTCTTTCTTCCATTTCGATCAATTCATCGGGCATTCCTTGCGTCCATGGATTAATAGGAGGTGGTCTCCATACACTTCCACTTTTAAACATTCTAAAATCTTCAGTGCGCCATTCCTTTTGTCCATCTCCTTGTAATATGGAATATAATTTCCATCGATAATAAATGTGTGCTGGAGAATAATTTTCAAATAAAAACCTAAAATTTAAAAATCATTCCTTTAATATAAAGCAGTAAGATACTAATGCTTTTTACAATTACTTGATTGTACAATTGTAAGATTGAACAAACCTGAACATTGGATTATTTAGTTCTCGATTCATGATCATTGCTTCAAACATCGGGCCTTCCCGAATTACAAATTCTACCATTCTATGTATCAACATAACTAAATTTCTGAAATATAAAATTTCAAAAAAATTTATTTTCAA